ACAAATTTAAAAATATTTTATGCATATAAATATTTATTGTAATATAATTTATAAATATTTCTTAAATTATTTTCACAATTTTATCTTTAAACATATTATTTCAAGTTTAAACTTAATATTTTTGAATGGTCCAATAAACTTTATAGCCCATAAAGGTAGTAATTCAAATAAACTTCAAATCAATATTAATGCTAACAAAGAAAATTTAATTCAACATTAGAAATGACACTACTGTCAGATATCTATTTATTAGTTTAAGATTGATTTATAACGAAAATACATAACTTAGTTTATCTTTTTCTTTAGTGCTTAGTTGTGTAGTACTTATTAAGTATACTTAATTTAGCTTGACCTATATATTACTTTTAGATTTCATTAATTTTTATTATGGATTATAATTAGTTAGTTATAATATTTTTTTATGGATTTTATTATCATTGTTATTGAATATTTTAGTACAATCTTATGACTTATCTCATATTATTGTGTTATTTTCTTGAAAATGCATTATATAGTTGTATCCAATTAGGACTAAAGAAATATTTGGAGCACAAGTTATATATTTTGTACTATGAAAACTTACCGGAAAAAACCCAAAAAAATCGAAAAACCTGAGAAAAAAACCGACATTGAAAAACCTGACTTTGTTGGTTTGGTTTGGTTTATAGATTTAAAAACTCGACATCATTATTTTGGTTTGGTAATTAAAAAATTCGAACCAACCCGACCTATGTACACCCCTAGTTACTACAATATTATTTGTTTCAACTTATATTTAGGATTAAAAGTGCTAAGAGAAACTGTATAAGTAGAAGAATATTCTAATGGGCAAAACTCAATCAGATAAAAAATGTTAATTCAATTACCGTTAACAATTTTTATATCAGTTGCCTCACTTGAAAAAGCTTTTCAAAACTAAATCAATAAAGTTCAACATGATAACACAAGAGAGGATTAAACAAATTAGTTAGATATTGGCAATAATTAAAACTGATTATAACTTCTATGGATTTTAATAAATTATACTCCCTCCGTTTCAGTTTATGTGAACCTATTTTCTTTTTGGTCCGTTCCAAAAAAAATGACCCATTTCTAAATTTGAAAACAATTTAACTTAAACTTACAATTCTACCCTTAATGAGAAACTTTTATAACCATACAAATACTTTGAATCACTTTTTAACTTATTTAGGACCACAAAAAGCCAAGATACCGATCGTGCACAAGTTTTGATATCTACCACAGTCCTGCACGTCTACCAGAATAATGAAGATGTGATACTTCATAATAATTCATATGATGTTCTTATATATGCTGGCTTAGTGAGACGTCACAACTCAGAGAGCTTAGTCAAGCCACATCATAAATAATATGCGTGGAAAGTTAGGCGGAAGGAAAATCTTAGCCACTGCACAATAGTGATATGATTCCTTTATGGCTGTCCAACGGGACGGGCCGTCCCGTCCCGTTCCGATCTCGTCCCGCGTCCCGTCCTGTCCTGTCCCACTTAATTCTAAATGGGATGAGCCCATGTTAAACGGGACACGGAATGGGACGGGATGGCCATTTCGTCCCGTTTGTCCCGTCCCGTTTCGTCCCGTCCCGTCTCGCCTGTCTCGTCCTGTTCCGTATCGTACCGTCCCGTCCTGCCTGTCCCGCATCTTATTTTTTTGTGCATTATATACAAGAAACGTATAATCCTGCTTTTCAAGGTTTTCCTAAGATCACAGTTAGAAATGATGTTTTTAAATTTCAAACCGAATATCTTCAGTATATTCATTGTGTATTGTTTCACTTAGATTGTAAAGTGTCTATCACATATGATATAGGTCGTAGTCCTAATGGTTGTGATTATTTAACTGTTACATCTCATTGGGTTGATCATCACTGGAACATGCAAAAACGTATTATTTGTTATAAATTTATTGATTCAAAATACACTGGAGCATATATTGCAACTACTGTTCTACAAATTATTGATTTTTATGGACTCATTGATAAAGTTTTAACTATCACCTTAGATAATGCTTCTGCTAAGTGCTAACACAACTGCATCAACTAGCTTAATGAAATGATTGCAAAATTAATCCAACTTATGCACCGACCATTAATGAAATGATTGCAAAATTTTAAAAGTATTTTTTTCCTATTCCCCAAGTATATTTAATTTCTACTATACTTAACCCATCTTTAAAATTAAGAGGTGCAAATGGACTTGTTCGTAAAATTTATGAGAATTTAGCAATTCAAGAAAATGAACAACCATCTCTCGAAGACTGTCAAACTAACATATATTCTTATGTTAAATCAATATTTGATAAATATAAATCTATGGAAACAACAGGTGGTGAAACTGGGGAAGAAGAAGAATACAATGAGATACTTAGCACTAGGAGCTATAACGGCATGGAACTCATGGAACATCAATCAACATTGCCAATTCCAGAACAATATCCGAGAGAAGTTATAGATAAGTTACAACGAAGTTATATAGGAGCTTACGAATATTAATATGATAATTTATAATTGGCTACTAAGAGGCCTAGTTCAAACAGAATCCTTCCTAGAAGGTGGCTGCATAGATTAGGTGCTCTTCAAAAGAATTATATTTGTATGTGAGATTTGAAAGTTCTATTAATAAAATAAAAGGCTCTAAGCGTTGAATT